TTTTAAAGGACCTGCAGAAAGGTAACGTTTAAAACGTTTTAAAGGACCTGCAGAAAGGTAACGTTTAAAACGTTTTAAAGGACCTGCAGAAAGGTAACGTTTAAAACGTTTTTAGGTGGCCCTGCAGAAAGGTAACGTTTAAAACGTTTTAAAGGACCTGCAGAAAGGTAACGTTTAAAACGTTTTTAGGTGGCCCTGCAGAAAGGTAACGTTTAAAACGTTTTAAAGGACCTGCAGAAAGGTAACATGTTTAAAAACATTAATTTAATAGGACCCTGCAGCAGAAGGTAGTTTAAAAAAATTTTAAGCGCCTGCAGAAAGGTAATTTTAAAACGTTTTAAGAAACGCCCTGCAGAAAGGTAACTTTAAAAAAGTTTTAAAAGACGCGCAAAAGGTAACGTTTAATAAACGTTTTAGGCCCTGCAGAAAGGTAATCAGTTTTAAACGTTTTTACAAGGCCTGAGAAGGTTAACGATAAAACGTTAAGAGGCCTGCAGAAGGTAACGATTAAAACGTTTTTAAAGGCCTGCAGAAAAGGTAACGTTAAAACGTTTTTTTTAAGACGTGCAGAAAGGTAACGTTAAAACTGTTTTATAGCGCTGCAGAAAGGTAAATTTAACGGTTTTAAAGGCCTGCAGGGTTATATCTATTGTAAAAAGTAATTTTTATGGGATCACTGCAGGAGAGTGTTTTAACGTTCTAACAACGTTTTAAAGGGACCGCCCTCAGGAAAGGTCGATTTAAAACGGTTTTAAAGTACTCAGAAATAAAGTTTAAATTTTAACCGGACCGCAAAAGGTAACGTTTAAAAAAGTTTAAAGGACCTGCAGGGAAGGGAATTTTAAAACTTTTTAAAGGGCCCTTTCAGAAGAATGTTTAAACGTTTTTTAAAAGGTGCAAAAGGTAATTTAAAAGTTTTAAAGGGGTGAGAGGTAACCCTTTTTTTAAAATTTTTGAACCCAAAAGGTAACTTTTAAAAATTTTAAAGGACCTGCAGGAAGGAACTTTTTAAATTTTTAAAGGACTGCAAAAGGTTTCGTTTTTAAAAAATTTTTGGCCCCAAAAGGGGCGTTTAAAACTTTTTAGGGTTTGCAGAAAGGAGTTTAAAACTTTTAAAGGGGTGCAGAAAAGGAAACTTTTAAAAATTTTTAGGGGACCCCCAAAATAACGTTTAAAAACTTTTAAAAAAATCAAAAGGAATTTTTAAACTTTTTTGGGGCTTGGAAAATAAAATTTAAACTTTTTAGGGGCCTCAGAAATAACGTTTTTAAATTTTAAAATAAAAAGAACAAAAAAAAAACCGGAAAAGGAAAGTTTAAAACGTTTTTAAAACCCCGCAAAAGGGTAACGTTTAAAAAATTTTTTACGGCCTGCAAAAAAACGTTTAAACCCTTTTAAGGTTCAGAAAGGTAAATTTTTTTTTAAAAACGTTTTTAAAGGAATTTTTAGAAAGGTAAAATTTAAAAATTTTTAGAGGCCCTCAGAAAGGGGGAAAAGTTTAAAAACGGGTTTTTACCCCCCCTTGTTGACATATCGTTAAATTTAAAAATTTGTTTTTTTCCAGTCCAGCGGCGGGATGTGGCTCCCAGGTCAACAGGCCTTTCTTTTGGTACATATTGCTTTGCATACCCATACCAAGGTGCTATAACTGAGAAAAATACTTGTGTACGGGTCAGGGTCATACTTGGAATCAGGCAGAAACATAAATGCTCACAGTGTGCTGCAAACACCAGGACGTCTTCCTCACCGCGGATCATTTCCGCTCACCCCTTAGCACTGCCCACTCAAAGTCTGAGCAGTGGGATAACTTTTCCAGGTGATGTGTTGCAAGGCAGAAAAACGGAGCTGATAAAATATATCTGTTAAGCTTGGTTTGCAGAGGCTAAATCTCAGTCTGTTGACTATTTTATTGGAATGGCTATTTTTCCTAAAATGCTTTGTTTAAATGCCCTTTAAATTAATTCATTAATTAGGAATTAATAGACCACTCACATGCACAGTGTAGTTTTTGAAGAGCTTGAAATAAAATTTAAGTTGATCATAAATTATATTTTTATTTCTCATACAGCCATAAATACAACGTTTTTTTAAATTATTCAATAAAAAAGTAAAAAACAAAAAAAAACAACAACTGGACATTGTTGTTGAAGTTTGAAGACGTTTCGCTTCCCATCCAAAAACCTTGATCAATTCCAATGTCTGGATTAACGTTTATAGTATTGCCCAATCACAGGCCTTGTTTTGGCTTAGATAACATTAAATCAGATGTTTTGATTAACCATTAGCTTTTCTTTAAAAGTTCAGAAAATGGTAATCAACTAATGTTTTTTTTTAAGTAACTGTAATTTTACAAATAATATGGTAGTTTTCTCAGAAAACGGTTAAAATTTAATGGTTTTTACAAAAGATTCCATATCTTTATCTCTTATTGTATAAAAATGATAAATTTTTATGTATTATAACTGTCAGGGGAGTGTTTTTTCTTCACTGGTTGATGATGAACATTGGGACCGTCTTTCCTGGAGGTTCTGATTATTTACTAGCGGTGTTTTTTTCCAGTAACAATGTTTATCCTCAGAACCTCAGAGGGATAATGTCAGGTTGGTTTCTCCATAGCTTTCAGTCCACCTTCCAATGAGGACGTTAAAGTGTTTGACCACACATGAACTGGTGCATTTCCTATCACATCTGGGGACAGTAAGCTTGAATCTCTCAGTTCAGATCTACTTCTGCATGGGGCAGGGCCCATCTAGAACCAGATCTACAATACCACCATGGGTCAGATACTTCTGATCAGGCCAGTGAACATTTCCACCCCAAGCTATGTCTGTTTTTTAATGTTGTCTGCTGAACAGTCTCCACATCCTCTGACTACACCCAGGAAACACCGTTTTCTCCAAGCCCAGACCCTGGGAGTGTAACAGCACCAGATCTTTCTCACGATGACACAATCATCCTGGAAGGTCTATCATCCAGTCCCCATAACGAGGATCACAGGCCTCCTGAAAAACAGCAGAAAACAAAACCGATGCACCAAACTGCAAAACAGAAAAGATACTCTTGGTTTGATATTTTTGATTTTTAAAATACAAGTTTACCCGTTAACAGCTGGTAGAGTCAGCACCGAGCAGCAAACCGGGTGGAGATCAAATCTATGCAAACAAAAAGTCTCACAGACTGATCACGGCCAAAGTTCATGGCTGAAATTTATGGGTGACTTATTTTTCTTTAACTTGTTGTGAAAAGTTCAAAGAAATGGATTATGTTAAAAACAACTGTGATCAGACATTGAATCTATTTGTTACTCATTTGGAACGGCACCGGCTCCACGCAACGTTCCCAAACCTGCCGGATCCACCTTCCAAACAAGGCTTATACATTTTTATTATATCAACACACATTTATTTGATCAGCAAAAAAATATTATTAAAAATATATCATTTATTTAAAATTTCTAGCCATTCAAACAGGAAAAAAAAAGAAAACACGGTAAAGAGTGTAACAGCATAGATCAGGTTTTAGGTGTATTATTGCTGCTACACACCTGACCTAATGATTGGTCCATTCATCAGACAGAGACAATTAAAACTAGCAAGACTTTGGCTTGATCCAAATATTAAAGACCTGTTTCACCTTTCAGGGGGTGAACAGTGAGAACCTGATCCAGGGTAGAACAGGAGCCTGGGCTTCAGCCTTACCGACGCCATTACCTGGCAGACACACCTGCATCCTTTTAAAGGACCCCGTCTATGTGGGCTTGGTCTTTCACAGACCACCAGAAGACCGGAGGAGATCGTCTTGTGTGCAGCTGCTGCATTTAGACAGACCTACAACTGTAGCTGTCAAATAGAGACTAAAGCCGAAAAGAACCACAAAAAACAGAAGTTGTCCAAATGTACGGCGGAACCCAAACATATGAAGGTGTGTCACACAGAATACAGGGACAAATGTGGCTAGCTCATAAGGTGGGCTGTGCAACACGGTCTGTGGTGAGACACTTGTGAGCTGTATAGTGAGATAAAGCTCCTAGTGTGGGCAAAGGGCGTCACCAGCGTCTCTGCTCTGGTTCTAGCTCCTCCCCCACTGTCAGCTCTATTCTGATGGCAGTTATTTTAGCAACTGCTCAAGCACTTCTGCTGTGGCTTAATTATCGGTGCTGAGTTAAAGTGTTTGGATCAACTGTGGAAACTGAGGACCAGAGACCTCTGGGTTACAGAACCTAATCTGAAAAGATAACATTGAGATTTTTGAAAAACTCAAAGAGAAAAGACAATCAGGAGAAATTTATTGATACAATTACTTTGTGTTTGGCGCTCAGACCACGGCAGGAAACATAACGCTTAATTTTGATAGATATGCATGAACAGGAGTAAAGAACGAGGCTGTTTCCCCCCCAGGCCTGAACCTGGTGGTGGAGTGGAGATAGATGGAGTTGGTCAGTCTGTAGACTGCTGGTTGGAGAGACGGTCTGCTGAGCTTTATGGGGAGATCCAGTGGACTGCATGAGCTGATACTAGAGCTTCACTTCCTGGAAGATGGAAGTCCTGCTGGATAACACAGGCTGAGAGAACCTGTCCATGATGAGCAAGCATGAAGCGACAGTGGAGAGGAAAAAACCCCATTGGGAAGAAACCTCTGGCAGGACCAGGCTCACATGGCGGTCATCTGCCGGACCAGTTGAAATGAGACGGGGAACGCAGTAAGAGTCCGGGAGGAATGACGCTCTGATGAAGCTTTAGCTACGATGGTGGAGGAGGGGCTGGAGGGGGGTTGAAACGGGGTCATCTGAATGATGTCACAGAGCATCCGCCGCCTGTCACAGGAGCAGACGGTGCGGGTCGGAGGCCTTTAAGGTGAGCTTTGGATGCTGATTGGCTTTGGTGGAGGTTTGGTTCAAAGCTGATTGGCTGTCGTAGGTGGATGAAGGAAAGCAATGAGTTTATTCAGTTGAACTTCCTCCTAGGCTCCATTTCTAAAGTATTTCTATTTTTATAGAAACACATAATGTAGACCTTCCAGGTCGTTTAGCCTTATCTCAAACATTTGGCCCTAATGCTGCTGTTCTCATTCCTGTTTAGTGGGGGAAACAGCATGAAACCATCCAGAGGAAGAGCAGCTCCTCAGAGAAGAAGATCAGGTCAGCTGACTGCAGGTGGAGGAGAGGCTTCATTTACTCCTCTGAGTGAAGAGCAATCTAAAGAGGCAATTTCTATCATGAAATACTCTTTTGATGAGGCTGCTATCAAGAATAAGATGAAGTTTAATTAGATGGTCCTTGATGAAAAGAAATAACCCTTGAAAAGTGCAGCTGAGTTAATAAAGGCCACATTAACATGTTGGTATGAAACTTCTATGCTTTAGTCTTTTTTACGTTTGGTGTTTATATCAAATGTCTGGTCACAGTTCCAATCATACGTTTAAAAACCTAAATGAGGGATTGCTGTTTAATGTTCTGCTAATTTAATGATATTATTCTTTTCTAACAGTCTCAATCTACTTTGATTGATCAAGACTTTATCCTGGAATTTGGAGAAGATATATCCTCAGTGTTTATGAGCGGTAAGTGTCAGCCTATCTCCTCTCTTTAGTATGAATGCATGTTTTTCTCCAGGAAACAGGAAGTAATCCTGCAGAGCCAGACTCTTCCTGCCTCCAGTGAAGAACTGATCTACTGTGGAGCGTCGGATGAGAAGGAATTGGAAAGCATTGCATCTGGTAGTTTAATTAGACTTTAATCCTTGATAAATAAACCTAGTATAGCAGCGTGTGCTTTAAATGAATGACATTCTTGCAGTTGTTGATATTTTATTTCTGTGCTGTCTCCACAGGCTGGGATAGCGATCCTGCTTCCATCATTCTGCTGCTCCACCTGAGGCCGTAAAACACCTGGAAGCTTCCTGCATCCCAAGCTGCTTCCTGCTCTTCCACAAGGTTGGCTTTCAATGTTTTTCACAGGAACTATCATGCATTTTTAAATATATCCAGATATGATTCGTTCTTATATAAATATGAGTGTTCCTAAACACTTAGGTGTGAATTTAGTTCAGGGTTATGCAATGATTAGGTTTAGAGTTATTGTCAGAATTAGGAAAATGACTGGAAATCACAACACATGGTCCTCACTATAGAACAATATGTGTGTTAAAGGGAAGATCCAAAATGATGAGCAGAGATTTAAAAAGAATTTGAACATTTGGAAATAGCAATTAACTCTTTTCCTTTATTTTAATAGAGTGGAACAAGTTTTCAGCAGCATGTTGATGACATCACTTCTTCAACGCATCCATCTTCATTCAAACAAGCATCTAGAAGCTACGCTGGCAAAGTTCAGCAGACTCCACGTCTCAAAGCTGAACTAGAAGCAGTGAATGAATCAGGAAACAAGTCTGCCTGTAAATGTAATTAGTTTCTTATGAATCTAATTTACTATCTTTATTTTTTGATCTTCTTCACTCAATACGTTTAAACAACATGGTGAAGCTTTGTTGTGTTTATCAGAACCAACATCCTTGTTATGCATATTAGATTAAGTCCTGGTTTATGTCCTGTTAAGGCGCTCCACCTGAAATGTGCTCAGAGAGGATGTAGCCGGATTTTTCAGGAAACATTTAAACACAAACATGATGAGCAGACTGAACATGAACCTGAAACTGGACCAAACCAGTTTTACTGCAGATTAAATGCTACTTGAAGATTCTGTGGATAATTCAGTGGGTCTAGATGTACAGTAAGTCCTGCTAGAGCTGCAGCTTCAACATGTTGGTCCTCTGAGAACTTTTCTGCTGAAATTGAACAGAAATCCTTTACTTCATTAAATGCTGAGTCCAAACAAAATGCTTCTTTTAAAGAGAAGTGGAAGATTTTTGAACCTGTTGAAAATAGAAGTAGATGTAGTGGAACTTATGATCAAGTGGTTTTTACAGACAGATTAGCAAATATTCCAGTTCTAGATACTCTGCGATCTATTCTCACAAATCTACAAGTATGTGGAATGTTTTCATCCGACCATATTTCAAAGGTTGCTTTGTATTTCCATTTAAAAGATGGTCTAGATACGAATAATCCTCTTTTTTCCAAGGAGAAAATGTAAATGTTTAGTTTTATTTTTATTCTAAGTTTTTATTGGCATTTTGTTGATGTGCTAAGATGAATAAATTGATAAGACATGGATATGGTTGTTTTTCTCTTCTTATTTAACTTTTGGCTGAACACCGTGAGATAAATATAAAATAGTATTTTAACACCTAGAGTCAATTTTAACAGTGAGCCAGGCTACATTTGGCCCTGCCCTGTGCAGCGTTAAACTGACACTGATCTCTGGGTTCATTTAACCTGCTACCTGAGGTCAGTCTGTCAGTAATCAGTCTCCCAGAGGTCAGTCTGTCAGTAATCAGTCTCCCAGAGGTCAGTCTGCCAGTAATCAGTCTCCCAGAGGTCAGTCTGCCAGTAATCAGTCTGCCAGAGGTCAGTGTGCCAGTGGTCAGTCGTCCAGTAATCAGTCTGCCAGTGGTCAGTCATCCAGTAATCAGTCTGCCAGTGGTCAGTCTGCCAGTGGTCAGTCATCCAGTAATCAGTCTGCCAGTGGTCAGTCATCCAGTAATCAGTCTGCCAGTGGTCAGTCTGCCAGTGGTCAGTCGTCCAGTAATCAGTCTGCCAGTGGTCAGTCGTCCAGTAATCAGTCTGCCAGTGGTCAGTCGTCCAGTAATCAGTCTGCCAGTGGTCAGTCGTCCAGTAATCAGTCTGCCAGTGGTCAGTCGTCCAGTAATCAGTCTGCCAGTGGTCAGTCGTCCAGTAATCAGTCTGCCAGTGGTCAGTGTGCCAGTGGTCAGTCTGCCAGTAATCAGTCTGCCAGTGGTCAGTGTCCCAGTAATAAGTCACCCAGTAATCAGTGTGCCAGAGGTCAGTCGTCCAGTAATCAGTCTGCCAGTGGTCAGTGTCCCAGTAATAAGTCACCCAGTAATCAGTTTGCCAGTGGTCAGTGTCCCAGTAATAAGTCACCCAGTAATCAGTTTGCCAGTGGTCAGTGTCCCAGTAATAAGTCACCCAGTAATCAGTTTGCCAGTGGTCAGTCGTCCAGTAATCAGTTTGCCAGTGGTCAGTGTGCCAGTGGTCAGTCTGCCAGTAATCAGTTTGCCAGTGGTCAGTCGTCCAGTAATCAGTTTGCCAGTGGTCAGTGTGCCAGTGGTCAGTCTGCCAGTAATCAGTCTGCCAGTGGTCAGTGTCCCAGTAATAAGTCACCCAGTAATCAGTGTGCCAGAGGTCAGTCTGCCAGTAATCAGTCTGCCAGTGGTCAGTCTGCCAGTAATCAGTTTGCCAGTGGTCAGTGTGCCAGTGGTCAGTCTGCCAGTAATCAGTTTGCCAGTGGTCAGTCGTCCAGTAATCAGTTTGCCAGTGGTCAGTGTGCCAGTGGTCAGTCTGCCAGTAATCAGTCTGCCAGTGGTCAGTGTCCCAGTAATAAGTCACCCAGTAATCAGTGTGCCAGAGGTCAGTCTGCCAGTAATCAGTCTGCCAGTGGTCAGTGTCCCAGTAATAAGTCACCCAGTAATCAGTGTGCCAGAGGTCAGTCTGCCAGTAATCAGTCTGCCAGTGGTCAGTCTGCCAGTAATCAGTCTGCCAGTGGTCAGTCTGCCAGAGGTCAGTCTGCCAGTAATCAGTCTGCCAGTGGTCAGTCTGCCAGTAATCAGTCTGCCAGTGGTCAGTCTGCCAGAGGTCAGTCTGCCAGTAATCAGTCTGCCAGAGGTCAGTCTGCCAGTGGTCAGTCTGCCAGTAATCAGTCTGCCAGAGGTCAGTCTGCCAGTGGTCAGTCTGCCAGTAATCAGTCTGCCAGTGGTCGGTCTGCCAGAGGTCAGTCTGCCAGTAATCAGTCTGCCAGAGGTCAGTCTGCCAGAGGTCAGTCTGCCAGTAATCAGTCTGCCAGAGGTCAGTCTGCCAGTAATCAGTCTGCCAGAGGTCAGTCTGCCAGTGGTCAGTCTGCCAGTAATCAGTCTGCCAGAGGTCAGTCTGCCAGAGGTCAGTCTGCCAGAGGTCAGTCTGCCAGTAATCAGTCTGCCAGTGGTCAGTCTGCCAGAGGTCAGTCTGCCAGTAATCATTCTGCCAGAGGTCAGTCTGCCAGAGGTCAGTCTGCCAGAGGTCAGTCTGCCAGTGGTTTAACCCCCTGCTGAATGAAATAGCCCCTCCTGTTTAGCAGTAGGATGAGCAATGCACGGCATCTATTCGCCAACCTGTGACTATCTGTTGTTGCCAGACGTCTTTACGTCTGAGCAGTTGCAGGGGTTCAGAGGGTTTTGCTGGAGGATTCAGACCTTCTGAGGAAATGATGGATGTTCCAGTCTGTGCCATCTTATCAACTCTTTACGTGTAGTTCTACTCAGGATGCTTCCACTCAGCCTACAACAGACTTAAACTGCAAAGCAATGGAGGAAAGAACACAACAATTCAAACGAAATATTTCAGCTCAAGGAGAAGAAAATGAGACTGACTGTAACTTCCAGGGTGGTATAAGCCTGTTGTCTGAGTCCATCAGAACCACTGGCCTGTAAGGCAAATGGTTCTGACCTGAACCAACTCTAGAATCAAAAGGCAATGTGGGTCTATATCATGTTTCAAATGTGTAACTCCTATGAGCCAATATCTATATAGGGTCTTTTTAAGCTGAGCTGAATACAGACTGCCAGCTGGCTTTGGACAGACAGCAGCCTGGGGCGCCATCTGCTGGACATGCTGCAGAACTGCAGAATGGGAAATAAATAAATGTGTGTTTGAGGAAACATGAACCGCTTTGCTGTTAGGAAGAAAAGTTTTAAATCCCATTGGGATGGAGGATTAGATGGAAATAATTCTGGCTGTTTTCCAATCTGGCCCAAACCTTCAATGAATTCACTTATTCTCCTCCTCTATGCTTTAAGATGGTTGCTCATTGTGTTATAATGTTAGAGTTTTACTTAGAACAATGTTAATAAAAACAGAGTTTTAGGCTATTAGGTTATTGTAGTATTTATATTTATTCTTCAGCTTCTGCCTTTGCTGTGGCCTGATCTCCCTGCCTGGTGATCCTCTGTTCTCTCTGGGTTTAGTTTACAGTTCTCTGCAGAGTCACCCAGGACACTTTATGTCAAAACAAAGGATTTATGTCTTTTTACGAATGATTCATCGTGGAGGTCTTCAACAAGGGGTCAGCGACCCCTAGGGGGGCCACAGAGGTACTGCACCGTGAAAGTTTCGAGTGATTAGACTTTTTTTTATATTTCCTGCTGCAATTTTTCCCACTAATATAAATGTCTTTAAATCCACATTAACATGAATCCAACAGACTGTAGTAAACAGATAAATGGAGGCAGAAGATGTCTTTCAGTCATCAATGCTCACATTCAGAGACACACATCAAGCTGGGCACCGTTTCATTCACAACACCTGTCCCATCAACCAGGAATCAGAAATACTTTAATAATCCCAGGGAGGAATTACTTTAGTTACATTACTCCATCTGTAATAGAGGGACTATAGGACCAGTTTGATAGAACACTATCTAATACTATATATATAATCAGGGGGTCCCCGCTCCATCTAGCCATCAGTTTTGAGTCCTTTGCCTGGAAAACGTTGAAGACTCCTGGATTATGGCTTTAATAGTTTATGATTTAATTATCTCATCATTTTATGACTTCTAGATCCCCCATCTTTCAGGACCGACTCCCATCCTTCTGGACCCCCCATCTTTGCAGACCTTCCATCCCTCATACACACACATCCACCCAACCCCCACCCACCCACCCACCCACACACACACACACACACACACACACACACACACACTCACACACACACACACACACACACACAAACTTGCCCTAACCCTAGTGAGGACCATGTGTTGACTCCCATTGACTTCCATTGATTTTCATTCATTTTCAACAATTTCTATGCTCTAACCCTAAAAATAGCCCTAAACCTGACCATTAGCAATGCATAGCCCATCCTAAACCTAACCCAATGACACCTAAGCCCTAAACCTGACCATTAGCAATGCATAGCCCATCCTAAACCTAACCCAATGACACCTAAGCCCTAAACCTGACCATTAGCAATGCATAGCCCATCCTAACCCAATGACACCTTAGCCCTAAACCTGACCATTAGCAATGCATAGCCCATCCTAAACCTAACCCAATGACACCTAAGCCCTAAACCTGACCATTAGCAATGCATAGCCCATCCTAACCCAATGACACCTTGGCCCTAAACCTGACCATTAGCAATGCGTAGCCCATCCTAACCCAATGACACCTAAGCCCTAAACCTGACCATTAGCAATGCATAGCCCATCCTAAACCTAACCCAATGACACCTTAGCACTAAACCCGACCATTAGCAATGCATAGCCCATCCTAAACCTAACCCTAACCCTAAACCTAACCATTAGCAATGCATATCCCATCCTAACCCAATGACACCTTAGCCCTAAACCTGACCATTAGCAATGCATAGCCCATCCTAACCCAATGACACCTTAGCCCTAAACCTAACCATTAGCAATGCATAGCCCATCCTAACCCAATGACACCTTAGCCCTAAACCTAACCATTAGCAATGCATAGCCCATCCTAACCCAATGACACCTTAGCCCTAAACCTAACCATTAGCAATGCATAGCCCATCCTAACCCAATGACACCTTAGCCCTAAACCTAACCATTAGCAATGCATAGCCCATCCTAACCCTAACCCAATGATACCTTAGCCCTAAACCTGACCATTAGCAATGCATAGCCCATCCTAACCCTAACCCAATGACACCTTAGCCCTAAACCTGACCATTAGCAATGCATAGCCCATGCTAACCCTAACCCAATGACACCTTAGCCCTAAACCTGACCATTAGCAATGTATAGCCCATCCTAACCCTAACCCAATGACACCTTAGCCCTAAACCTGACCATTAGCAATGCATAGCCCATCCTAAACCTAACCCAATGACACCTTAGCCCTAAACCCAACCATTAGCTATGCATGGCCCATCCTAACCCTAACCCAATGACACCTTAGCCCTAAACCTGACCATTAGCTATGCATGGCCCATCCTAACCCTAACCCAATGACACCTTAGCCCTAAACCTGACCATTAGCAATGCATAGCCCATCCTAAACCTAACCCAATGACACCTTAGCCCTAAACCTAACCATTAGCAATGCATAGCCCATCCTAAACCTAACCCAATGATACCTAAGGCCTAAACCTGACCCTTAGCTATGCATGGCCCATCCTAACCCTAACCCAATGACACCTTAGCCCTAAACCCGACCATTAGCAATGCATAGCCCATCCTAAACCTAACCCAATGACACCTTAGCCCTAAACCTGACCATTAGCAATGCATAGCCCATCCTAACCCAATGACACCTTAGCCCTAAACCTGATCATTAGCAATGCATAGCCCATCCTAAACCTAACCCAATGACACCTTAGCCCTAAACCCGACCATTAGCAATGCATAGCCCATCCTAAACCTAACCCAATGACACCTTAGCCCTAAACCTGACCATTAGCAATGCATAGCCCATCCTAACCCAATGACACCTTAGCCCTAAACCTGACCATTAGCAATGCATAGCCCATCCTAAACCTAACCCAATGACACCTTAGCCCTAAACCTGACCATTAGCAATGCATAGCCCATCCTAACCCTAACCCAATGACACCTTAGCCCTAAACCTGACCATTAGCAATGCATAGCCCATCCTAACCCAATGACACCTTAGCCCTAAACCTGACCATTAGCAATGCATAGCCCATCCTAACCCTAACCCAATGACACCTTAGCCCTAAACCTGACCATTAGCAATGCATAGCCCATCCTAACCCTAACCCAATGACACCTTAGCCCTAAACCTGACCATTAGCAATGCATAGCCCATCCTAAACCTAACCCAATGACACATTAGCCCTAAACCTGACCATTAGCAATGCATAGCCCATCCTAACCCTAACCCAATGACACCTTAGCCCTAAACCTGACCATTAGCAATGCATAGCCCATCCTAAACCTAACCCAATGACACCTTAGCCCTAAACCTAACCATTAGCAATGCATAGCCCATCCTAAACCTAACCCAATGACACCTTAGCCCTAAACCTAACCATTAGCTATGCATAGCCCATCCTAACCCAATGACACCTTAGCCCTAAACCTGACCATTAGCAATGCATATCCCATCCTAACCCAATGACACCTTAGCCCTAAACCTGACCATTAGCAATGCATAGCCCATCCTAACTCTAACCCAATGACACCTTAGCCCTAAACCTGACCATTAGCAATGCATAGCCCATCCTAACCCAATGACACCTTAGCCCTAAACCTAACCATTAGCAATGCATAGCCCATCCTAACCCAATGACACCGTAGCCCTAAACCTAACCATTAGCAATGCATAGCCTATCCTAACCCAATGACACCTTAGCCCTAAACCTAACCATTAGCAATGCATAGCCCATCCTAACCCAATGACACCTTAGCCCTAAACCTAACCATTAGCAATGCATAGCCCATCCTAACCCTAACCCAATGATACCTTAGCCCTAAACCTGGCCATTAGCAATGCATAGCCCATCCTAACCCTAACCCAATGACACCTTAGCCCTAAACCTGACCATTACCAATGCATAGCCCATCCTAACCCTAACCCAATGACACCTTAGCCCTAAACCTGACCATTAGCAATGCATAGCCCATCCTAACCCAATGACACCTTAGCCCTAAACCTGACCATTAGCAATGCATAGCCCATCCTAACCCTAACCCAATGACACCTTAGCCCTAAACCTGACCATTAGCAATGCATAGCCCATCCTAACCCTAACCCAATGACACCTTAGCCCTAAACCTGACCATTAGCAATGCATAGCCCATCCTAAACCTAACCCAATGACACCTTAGCCCTAAACCTGACCATTAGCAATGCATAGCCCATCCTAACCCTAACCCAATGACACCTTAGCCCTAAACCTGACCATTAGCAATGCATAGCCCATCCTAACCCAATGACACCTTAGCCCTAAACCTAACCATTAGCAATGCATAGCCCATCCTAACCCTAACCCAATGATACCTTAGCCCTAAACCTGGCCATTAGCAATGCATAGCCCATCCTAACCCTAACCCAATGACACCTTAGCCCTAAACCTGACCATTAGCAATGCATAGCCCATCCTAACCCTAACCCAATGACACCTTAGCCCTAAACCTGACCATTAGCAATGCATAGCCCATCCTAACCCAATGACACCTTAGCCCTAAACCTGACCATTAGCTATGCATGGCCCATCCTAACCCTAACCCAATGACACCTTAGCCCTAAACCTGACCATTAGCAATGCATAGCCCATCCTAAACCTAACCCAATGACACCTTAGCCCTAAACCTAACCATTAGCAATGCATAGCCCATCCTAAACCTAACCCAATGATACCTTAGCCCTAAACCTGACCCTTAGCTATGCATGGCCCATCCTAACCCTAACCCAATGACACCTTAGCCCTAAACCCGACCATTAGCAATGCATAGCCCATCCTAAACCTAACCCAATGACACCTTAGCCCTAAACCTGACCATTAGCAATGCATAGCCCATCCTAACCCACTGACACCTTAGCCCTAAACCTGACCATTAGCAATGCATAGCCCATCCTAAACCTAACCCAATGACACCTTAGCCCTAAACCTGACCATTAGCAATGCATAGCCCATCCTAACCCTAACCCAATGACACCTTAGCCCTAAACCTGACCATTAGCAATGCATAGCCCATCCTAACCCAATGACACCTTAGCCCTAAACCTGACCATTAGCAATGCATAGCCCATCCTAACCCTAACCCAATGACACCTTAGCCCTAAACCTGACCATTAGCAATGCATAGCCCATCCTAACCCTAACCCAATGACACCTTAGCCCTAAACCTGACCATTAGCAATGCATAGCCCATCCTAAACCTAACCCAATGACACCTTAGCCCTAAACCTGACCATTAGCAATGCATAGCCCATCCTAACCCTAACCCAATGACACCTTAGCCCTAAACCTGACCATTAGCAATGCATAGCCCATCCTAAACCTAATCCAATGATACCTTAGCCCTAAACCTGACCATTAGCACAATAGCATGATAGGACCAGCAAAATGTCCTCTCTTAGTCTGATGGTGAAACTGAAAAATGGTCCTTACTCTGAGGGTTAGACAAGTACGTATACACACACACAAGCAGCAAAGATCGACCGTCTTTAATTTTAATTTACACACAGAAATCCCCTCATCAAGCAACTGTCTTTTACCTGAACAACTTTATTCCCACCTCTTTCAACAGGCAACCTTTTAACTCAGAGTAAATGCGCTACATGCACTAGGCTTAGTGACGTACTTCCGATTCAAGGCATTACTGCTCGGTCGTTTCCGGTCCGCGTATTTACATTGCGCTAGCTTGCAGATTTGGCAATATTGTTTGATGTCATTATGAAAAGGAAAGTGTTAAAAACTTGTCGTTTTCAAAAACAAGAAAAAAAGTATTCAGAGCACTGCTGTGTTCCTCTCTGCACAGCATCGTCAAAATTTAACGGCGTGTTAAGTTTTCATGGCTTTCCGACACAGACCCATCAGAGAAAACAGTGGCTAGTTAGCATTCGCCGGGATAATTTCGACATCACCTCTCACTCAAAGGTCTGTAGCAGACACTTTACCAACGATCAGCTCATCGAACCAGCAACACTTGACGGTCGAAGACGGCTCGTTAAAGGTGCTGTACCGGCACTTTTTGAGTGGAATGGCTATTGTGTTGAACCAGCACGGCGCAGTGTGTGGGAGAGAGTGGAGCGGCCTGAGGCAGCTCCTCCCGAGAAGGATGAAGAGCACCTCGATGTCACAGATGACCATGACTATTGCTCAGTCCCTGAACCAGCTGCAATGGACATGTCCGCATCAGCTGCTGAAGATGTGTCCACAGAAGTTGAAGAGCTGAGAATGGAGATACAGGAGCTACGTCTTCAGCGAGAGTTTGGATTACAGCGGTTTGCTGGCTCGGACGCAGACATCCGATTCTATACGAGGTGAGTTAATCAGGGATGTATTCCAGCTGTTTAACATTCACTAGGACTATGATCAGTTAATCATAACAAAACCTGTAATCACTTTTGATAAAGAATGTTTATTTGCTTAGAAAATGTGGTTAGAAAATTGTTCCTGATCAAATGCAGCGCTAAATTGCTTCTTAACCAGTCCATCTAAATTATACATAACACGCAATATGAAATGTAATCACAGTTGTTGCTGTTCATATTATTTTGTGTGATTTTTAACAGCTACGCTAATTGTGACATGGTGTACCTGTGATATGTGTGTCTTTTGTGAATAGATTTTCAAGCTATGAGCACCTGATGTCGTTTTGGTCTCTGATTCAGCCTTGCCTTCATAAAATGGTCTGGGTCACAAGAGCCAAATCAGCTGCCAAAAGAAATGAGGAAGTCATCACTCCTGCACGTTCATCAACGGTAGGTTATTATTAGAGTGTGCTTTATTGGCAGTTTCAGATGTAGTGATGCATTTTTGTGCAAATCTAAAGGGTAAATTATGGGTTTTAGTCTCACTTAATTACAACAGTTCCCCAGACACTCCTGGTTTTCTCCATGTTATGGTATACATAAGATTTACAAACATTTAGCCAAACAAGAGCATTGACCTACTATTTCATATGTTAAATGAGTAGTAACAATTGTATTAATGAGGTTTGTGTGAAATACTTGTCCATAGTCAGTTCATTATGTACAGTAGATGGTCATCAATAAGCCCTTAACTTAGAGAAGCAACATGAGTACTCGTGTAGGAAGTTAAGCAATGTACTCTTGTGGACACTATCCACAGCAACATAATTTACACGCCTAAAAAAAAGTTGAAGTTGGTGCACAGTTTTGAAAAAATCTGAAATTTTTATTTCACAGAACACAGGAATTTGCAGGTTAACTGCTGGATCTATCTGTTATGTGTGTTACTGTGTGACTGATAAATATGAACTAACTATTTAAGTCACTGGTTTATATTTTTTTTCTCATCAAATAGTCTGTATGGCAGCAAGACAGAGAGGTGAAAGTATTTTAAATACGGTGTAAACTACACTGATAACATTTTTATAGGTGTCTATAATTCATGTTGCTGCTGACCCTGTCCACAGCATTGCATTACTTAAAAACCTATAACAATACTCCTACTGCTTCTACAAACTGAGGGCATGCCAAGCGCCATCTCCTGGAGGTAATAATACACTGACTATGGAGAAGTACCTCAAACAACCACAAATAATCTGAACAGTTCTTTGAAGGAGTAACCTTTTTTTCCTTCTGCATTTTTACCTCCTAGCGACAGGTGCTCCAGCCCATTGATGAGTTCTTTCTTTTCCTCTGTTATTTGTCTGCTGGCTTGAGGGAGAGGGACCTGGGAAATCATTTCAACGTACACCAGTCCACAGCGAGCCGCATCATTGCAACATGGACAAGTTTTCTAGCCACTGCAATGGGGTCTGTTTGCATTTGGCTTACACCTGCAGAAGTGCAAGCCAACCTCCCTGAGGAATTTCAAGATTTTCCAGACACCCAGGTGATCCTAGATTGCACAGAGCTAAGGTGTCAAACACCATCCTCACCCCTCCTTCAAAGTGAGATGTACTCCACATATAAATCTCACTGCACCATGAAAGGTCTGGTTGGCATAGCCCCACATGGTGCAGTGACATTCATCTCAGAGTTGTATGGTGGTTCAGTTAGTGATAAGGAGATATTTAGACAGTCGGGAATAGCCGAGTTGCTGACAGAAGACATGGCAGTGATGGTAGACAAGGGTTTCCTAATCAGTGATTGCTGCAAATGCAAGGTGTACTGCCCACCTTTTCTGTCTAAGCAGATGCAGATGCCAGCATACCAGGTGAAGGAGACACAGGCCATAGCAAGACTGAGGGTACATGTGGAGCGTGTCATTAGGAGGATAAAGGAAAACAAACTTTTTGATGGTACCATCACCCTATCACATGCCTACAACATCAACGAACTGTGGGCAGTTGCATGTTTGCTGTCAAATTATCAGAACAAAGCACTAGTAAAAAAATGGGTAAAGTGAGTTTTTGTGGACTTCCACCATGAGAACCACCAGGAGCACAAGATTAAGGTGCAGCTAAACAGCTGGAGAATACTGTGTGATAACATAATAATAAGCAGTGTTCCATCCCCATGATAATCCACTCAGTTTATAGTTAGTTAACTGAAGATCTTCACCCATCCTCTGTAGTATCATGGGGTGGGATATCACTTTTAGGACTATTTTTTGTATCCTATGTGTGTATATATACTGTATATATATATAGTGTATGTTGTCTTAGAATTTTTCAATGAACTTATGTGTCTCATACATGTTTTATCTGTAATTAGTTGACTATTGTTTTATTATTGTGTACTCTGTCAGTGTCTCCCAACCTTGCCTTGCATGTTTTAGATGTTTCCTTGCTCTAACACACCTGATTAAAATCATTAGGCTTTTATCAGGCTTCTGCAGTGGCTTCATGACCATTTTAATCAGGTTTGTTGGAACATGGAAACATCTAAAACATGCAGGGGTCTCCGAGGACCAAGGTTGGGAAATACTGCTGTTAGCAGGGACCTTTTACACTGTTAACTCATTGTCATTAGTAGCAATCTCACAGCTGAACTTGATTCATATCAATAATCTAAAGTCATCAATTCAATAGCTGTGACCCAGGGCCTTCCATATCTGGTGCAAGCAGCTCATGACAAACATTACATTTTTATATCTATAGTTGAGATCACAACTAAAACCTGTAAATTTTCAGTGTCAGCCAACACAATCTTACCACATATCTAATACGTTGTAAAACATTTTTATCAACATCAATGTGTTACAGTTCAAATACAGTTTAACTTTACAAAAGTATTGCCTGTAACGAATGAATTTGTTTGATGTAAATGAAGTTAAACCTAACATTGTTGAAATCATTCACATTTACCAGTAAATGTTGAATCAAAAGACAAAGGCAGTAACGGTTGAATTATGAATTTAATGATTTACTCAAAATTACCTTTTCAATCATCACATTGTCTTTTCTGTGAATAAAATGTTTTATTTATATTTTTGGCATTCATGTTTTTACTTAAGACTCTGAAAAAGTGTGTCAAATAAAACATCAATTAGCTATTGAAAATGCTAAAACTATTGGACATTTAGTATGTCTGAACTCTAACATATGGGATAAATGTGTAAAATCAAGTGCCTTAATCTACCAAATCACATGTTTCAATGACTGACATTTATCAGGAAATATAGAAGGATATAATACCAATATACAGTTGTGTAAAAAAGTATTTGTCCCCTTCCTGGTTTCTTATTTTTTGCATGTTAGTCACACTTAAATGTTTCAGATCATCAAACAAATATAAATGTGAGACAAAGATAACACAAGTAAACAGAAAATGCAGTTTTTAAATGAAGATTTTTATTATTAAGGGAGGAAAAAATTCCAAACTTAAATGCCCCTGTGTGAAAAAGTGATTGCCCCCCCTGTTAAAACATAAATAAACTGTGGTTTATCACATCTTTGGAAAGCTGAGTTCAATTTCTCTAGGCTGGATTACTGCCACACCTGTTCTCAATCAAGAAATCACTAATAGACCAAAAGATCCTCAAAGTTAGACATGCTGCGATCCAAAAGAAAATCAGGAAAAATGTAAAAACCAAGTAACAGATCTGTCTGGCAATCACTTTTTCACACAGGGACATTTAAGTTTGGATTTTTTTCCTCCCTTACTAATAAAAATCTTCATTTAAAAACTGCATTTTCTGTTTACTTGTGTTATCTTTGTCTCACATTTAGATTTGTTTGATGATCAGAAACATTTAAGTGTGACTAACATGCAAAAAATAAGAAACCAGGAAGGGGACAAATACTTTTTCACACA